GGCAGAGTGGAGATTTCTGGCGGCTATTACGAGTACATTGACGTCAGCAGCTGCCAAGACATCATCCACCTCTACCATTTGCTCTGGTCGGCGACCATCTTGAACATCATCGGCTTGTTCCTGGGGATCATCACCGCGGCTATTTTGGGCGGATTTAAAGACATGGTGAGCAGATTTCGGTGGACAGGGAAAGGGAACGTTGGTCCCAGGTTTGAGCATTTTGTCGTAGAAGGAGGGCTCCTGGCAAATGGAAAGACAGAAGCAGGAATGAACGACTTTTGGAAAGTAACTTTTCCCAACTGTAGTCCAAACCAGTGATTTACCACGAGATATGGGCACAGACTGCCGGTTTCGTGGTTCGTACCGGCTCATTAATTGGCCTGCAAATTTCTTGTCTCCATTTGCCCTTTGAATAGGCAGACGGCAACCTGGTTTGAGTTTTCTGTTCTCCGTTATTTCCACAGATTCCTTCACTCCCAGCCCTCAATTGTACCGTTGAAAGCCCACGGCCTGCCGTGTCCTATTACTCAAGACCCCAGGTGACATCCTACAATGCATGTTATCACAGCACCCCACACCTGCCGCCGTATTCAGCATACGACTTCCAGGTAGGTTGGTCCCAACGGAGGCAGGGCTTCATTTAAGAGAGGAATTGGTTTCAAAGGTTGCGAACTCGTCAGCCAGCTCCACTCTCTTTCTGGGTATCAGGGATGCTGAATACCATCGTCCTTGACCTTGGGCCACCGATTACCCAGCCCTGCTCCAGAATCTGTCCTTCAGGAGGGGAGAATTTGCTGGAGATTGGCTTCAGTTCTTTGCACTGGACGGGCAAATAATATTTTTGGATTCGCGAAAGCTTTCACAGCCGGGATCTAATGGTTGTTGTGGGTTTTTCGGGCTCTTTGGCCGTGTTCTGAAGGTTGTTCTTCCTAACGTTTCGCCAGTCTCTGTGGCCGGCATCTTCAGAGGACAGCACTCTGTGCTCTGGTGTAGTTGGCTTGGGAGTGCAGTATTTATGGCTGTGAGATAGGCTTTTGTCTTTTTTGTAGATGAGTGATTAGTGTGTTTTTGAGTGCAGTATTTATGGCTGTGGAGAAGAGACTATCTGTCACTGTGGTTGATGGGTGTCATTAGCTGTAGTTGATGGGTGTCATTAGCTGTTCTTTTGTGTGTAGTGATCCCCTGTCCTTGTGGCTGGGTAGAGTTCGTTGACCTTTTGCACGCTGTATTTTTGAGAGCTGGGAGCCAAGTTTTGTTGAGCTTCACACTTTCCTCTTTTTTGTTGAAGCTCTGCTGATGTTTGTGGATTTCAACGGCTTCCCTCTGCAGTCTGACGTAATGATTGCTGGTGTTGTCCAATACTTCAGTATTTTGAAATAGAAGTTCATGTCGAGTTTGTTTCAGGGCATATTCAGCCACTGCAGATTTTTCTGGTTGTTTTAGTCTGCAGTGTCTCTCATGTTCTTTGATTCTGGTGTGGATGTTTTGTTTTGTGGTTCCAATATGTACCTGGCCACAACTGCAAGGTATCCGGTCGATTTAATTGTGGTTCCAATATATACCTGGACACAATGCAAGGTATCCGGTTGATTTAACGAGACTGGCGAAACGTTAGGAAGAACAACCTTCAGAACACGGCCAAAGAGCCCGAAAAACCCACAACAACCAATATTTTTGGAATTTCTTGGTTTCTGTTTCAAACTCTAAAGAAGATATGACTACGCAGGGAAGTAGGTCCAAGCAGGACCCTTTTGGTTTCCACTTTTTGGGGTTGGGCTGGAGCAATTCCGTGGCAGATGAAGGATTATTCAAAGGAGGTTCCTCCAGTTAAATGAACGCTTTCTGACGCAATCCGTCATCTGATCGCACCCCGAGTTGGCAGTCCTCTGGCATTTCTGGGATCCTAAGCCATTCCTTTGAGCTTTACCACACAGTCACGTTTCTTCCTCTCAACACCATTAATTAGTGGCTTCTTCATTTTTATTCAGCCGTTAACCCACATTCTTAAAGATGAAAATACTCCTCTGAAGGCTTAGTTACTGGCAGTGATTGCTTGAAGCTAAACATTACTTTTGGTCCCACCTCTGGATGCTGGTCCTGCCCACCACTGAGATCGCTCCCCAGAAAGTTCTTTGGAGCTGAGTTTGGCCCTTGGGCTGCATACGTTGTAGAGAAGACACAATCTGCCCGTCCCAGGCGAGGGGCTGCAGCCATAAAGGCCTCCGGCGCCCTTTGTCTTTTTACCAACTGGCTCTTTCTTTCTTTGTAAGTTGCCCAATAGCCATCACTTTTAGAACAACATGCTTAATTAAAAGCATGCTCAGTCAAACCAAGGACAGCACATGCCATCCTGGATCTGATTTTCAAAGGTCCTTGCAAAAGGTCGGATGGGTGGATAACCTGGGTGGTTATGATTACAGCAGGCTAGCACCTTGATGCCTGGCCATTACCTCTCCGTTCTTTCTTATATTGTCATTTGTTATAATCTTATGGGGCACTGCATAACAGTCTTCTGTGTATCTTTGCCTTCCAAACTGACAACTCGATTCAATACCGAGCAAGGCTAATAGCTTTAAAAACGAGTGCTGATGAAATCACTGATCAGCGGGAGCCAGCCATTCATATGCGCTGGGGAAGATCTGAGTAGGCAGCGCATGAGAGGGTTAATGGCTTCTTGTCCAGACAGAAGAAATGGGAAAGATGATACCTCCCAGGTTCCAAACAAGGAAAACCGATAAAATGTAAGATGTTGTGTTTATTTCACTGAATCTGATCTAGCCAGATGATCCTGGCAGTAAGACTTTGCCTACGTAATTCCCAGGAGAAAGTGCTCCTGAGCGCTATGGAGATCCTCTTTACTTCCTTCAGAAAGGAGCGTGGGGGATAAAGCAGGATTCTGCTCAGCCCTCATCACATTAGAATTCAGAGAAAGGGTGTTTACAGCTGTGACCCACTTCCTGCCTTCTTCAAGAGACACGGTCCTTCAATGGGGAAAATGTCCACATTTAGAAAAGGAAGGGATGGATAGTGTTTCCTCTCTGTGGCGTCCACCCCTAACCAACGTCTCCTCTCCATCTCCTCCCCCATTTGTTTGCTACAGCATTCCAGTGTTTTCCCGGCCTCCACACCCTCGGGCCTCTCGGAGGAGCCGCCGTCATTATCGCCATCGCCGAGTTACGTGTGGTCCCCCACCGCGCCTCCCCGTTACTCGCCGCCCTACTTTCCGCCTTTTGAAAAGCCACCGCCATATACACCGTAGACGGGGGGAAAGATGGGGCCCCACTGCTGCTGGAACTCATGGCCATCGATCCTTTTTTACTAGGAGGTGGCAGAGAGGAGAGAGAATACATCATCCTATAGCAAACATCAGTAGGTAAAGCAGAATCTTGAAGCGTCTTCTTTGCACAGCCCTGGATTTAAGCCAGGTTGGTGGACACAATCCACGGTTCAGTGGATCTGACTCACAGGTGTCCCTGCCTCCCCCCACGGGCACCCACCCAGGGGCAACACCCTGGGCTTCCCTGCCTTGCCCCCTCCATTAAGTGGGTGCCCACGGAAGGGGACAGGGGGGTATCTGGGGCCCCCATGTAATCCCCGTGGGCCCGATCCGCTAAAGCATGTTTTAAACGCCAACGTGTGGTTTGTGCCCATCCTCTACGAGGACAGGAGTGGGAAAGTGGGCCTCTGGCCTTGACAGCCGCTGGCTTGGTTTTGCTTTAAAACCCTATTTCAAGCATCAGCCACATCTGGAGGTCAAAGGACTTACACATGCTCCCCTTCTCCATTAAAAAAAACTGCAAAAGATCCCTTGCACCATTTAAGCAGCACTGGTGGCCAGGTCACCCCCCCTGTCTTCTCCCAAATTATTTCAGGCCTAAGGGGCTTTTTCAAAAGCGAAAATCCCCCAGGCCATTTCCATCTTTACAAAATGCTCCTCCAGGTCAAAAAGGAGATCCACAGGTGGAGCGTTGTTGACCCCAGCACCTCCTGGCAGTCACAAGGGGGCTCTGAGACAAAAAAAAAATGGTGTGTAAGGGATGTTCGGGGGCTGCCCGAGGCCCACAGGGCAGGCTTGGCCCAGCGCTGGTCTCTCAGGAGGAATGGGCTGCACTCGGTTTTTACAGAACATCATCTTGCTTGGATGCCCTGCCATCACCGCTCTCTCTTGTTTGGCGCAGACAGTTTAGGGATGATAAATGTCTAACCATGACCTAAAGTTGCCTTAGCCCACCCCAGTTCTCCAAAGAAGTGCTTCCAAAGTGTGTCCCTTGTTCTGCTTGGCAAAACTGGTGGGTTCTCTGGCAATTCATAGCAAATGTATGGGAACCTGTGTTAGCCCAGGTGCTGTAGAACCACAGGTCCCATCATCTCTTATCAATGGCCTGTGGTTAATGGGAATTGGGAGTCCAAAACCAAGTGGTGGTTCAGAGGTTCCCTAACCTTGGCTTAAAACGGGTTGGAAGTAGAATTGTATTTGCAGACTACAGCTCCTAGAATCCCCCAGGCAGCAAAATGCACATCTGTATACCTCCAGTTGGAAGGTATAGCCTTCCTGGGTACTTTTGGACTCTATAGCCCATCATCCCCAGACATCTGTGAGGGATGATGGTAGTTGCAATCTAGGAGCACCTGGAGGGTCACACATTTTCCCATGTCTAGTTTGATGTAAGAAACAAAGAGCTTGAGTGTTTTAGATAAATTGTTTGAATTGGTGGGAAGGGAAATGTTCTGTGTCATAGGGAGCCCTAAGGCATAATGGGGTTTTGAGTGGGAAGTAACAAAAGATAATCAAGGTTTTTTTAAAGAAGTCTCTCCTTGTATTTTTAATGAAGAAATGCTTTATGTTGTCACTAAGTGCCAATATGGTTGCGCTGTTTCCTGGACAGATAGGTCTACAGCGACACCTCGTGGCAAATTTGTTTGCATTGCAGCTTAATAAAGGCTGCTTCACACATTTTTATCTCCAGATTTCCCATAGGAAAAATGGCAAAATATGAATTTTCTCCCCCCACCCCCCGGCTACGTTTCTAATACAACTTGTGCCATCCCGGACACTTTATTCTTTTGAATCACAGCATAGCTCACCGTTCGGTGGAGTTTCTGTACAAATGTGTTTTTTCCCCTTTTGCTGTATAACAGGAGTGCAGACTGCCAGCTGTTTTTAAATTGTGACTTTCATTAGACCTAACAAATACAGGCAGTGGTGAAGGCTGAGAGGAGCTGCAACCCAGCAACATCCGGAGGGCCACAGGTTTCCCATCCGTGCTTTGAAAGGATGGAGAAAATATTCAGCTGTTCGGCGACAGTTAAGGATGTCAAGGGCGGATTGGAGCTTTTGAGGACGAACGTATTTGAAAGGAATAGTTGTAAAAGCAAGAGTTTCAAGTTCAGCTTGTAGAGATGTGTTCCTGCTCCACTGGGCTGCATCTTTAAATGTTTGTCACTCACTAGAGATGGGCACGAACTGCCGGTTTGGCGTTTCGTGTCTGTTTATTGGCCAAACAGGTGTTTGCCCACCTCTTCCGGAGGGCACCCACGCAGAGGCAACCCCCTAGCTTCCCTCACCCATTTTGTCTGGGCACTGGCTCTGAGTGGGCATCGCCGGAGGAGAAAGGGCTGGGACGTGCCAAACCCACTGTTGGGTCACTAAAAAACTGCTGAACCAGCTGTTTGGGCCCATCTCTATTTGCCACTAGTATCCAGGTGGCTTTTCATACCGTTCCTTGTAGAAAACCTGCTGCCCTATAATGATTTTAGAGGGACAATTTCTATGACATTTCACATTTTCTCTGCAACCTATATTTGAACCCATAAGCAAGTTCGAACATGTTTCTGAGTAATCTGGCCTTTCTCACCAGATTACTCATAAACATGTTCGAACCCGCTCACAAGCTCTAACATAGGTTGCAGGAAAAAACATGTCATGTCATAGAAATCCCCCCCCTACCGGCACTAATGATTACAGAGAGTTGATGCCAACTGAAATTTAGCCCATGCAGCTCCTATGAAAGAAGAAAATTTGGTCCCCCAAGTAAGACAGATAATGCTAATCTTTTAAAAACAACTCACAAAAGAAGAAAATTTGGTCCCCCAAGTAAGACACTCAGATAATGCTGATCTTTTAAAAACAACTCACGATGTTCTCAGATTGTACAGCAATTTGGAAATTCAGCTGTTTGGGGAGGAGGAAGCAACACAGTGTACTTTCCTGGGCAACTATGTTGAGAATGTGCACTGAGCAGTCAGCTAAATTTATTTGATAGGCATTTGGAGAGCACGCAAAGATTTCTGCAGGATTTCTTGAGCCCTCAGGATAAGGCAAGGAAGAAACGAAAGTAAATACTATATGCAGGATTATAAACTGAGCAATGCCATTGCACTTTTGAGACAACTATGTTTATTATTTGTGTTTCTGTGCAAATTGATTTAGATGAATTAAATAACTTGGATCATTAGCAAACTCTAGTCCAGTCTGGTCTTGAAGCTAAAGTGGAGGTGTCCGTGCTTCGATCACTAAATTTGAGGAGACAATTTTCTGCATTTCTGGTTTAAAGAATCAAGAAGCAGGAAGTGTGAAGGACCAGTGGGAAAAGTTTGTCTTGGACTACAAACCCCCGCCCCCCCCAAGATCGCCCAGCCAGAAAGACTAGAATTCTGGGAGTTATCATCCAAAAAAGTACCAATTGGTCATCTGCCAGGGATATTTTTGAGAATTACAGTGGTGCCTCGCATTATGATGTTAATTCGTTCCAGTGAAATCGCTGTAGAACGAAAACATCGTAAAGCGATTTTTAAAAGCCCATAGAAACGCATTAAAACCCGATTAATGCATTCCTATGGGCTTAAAACTCACCGTCCAGCGAAGATCCTCCATAGTGCTGCCATTTTCACTGCCCATGCAGCGAGGAATCAGTCCCATTTTGAAACCGCCGATCAGCTGTGCAAAAATCGTCGTTTTGCGATAATCGGTTAGCGAAGCAGGGAACCAATCATCGCAAAGCAAAGAAACCCCATAGGAAATATCGTTTTGCGATTGCTTTTGCGATCGCAAAACCTTCGTCATTATGCAATTTCATCGTAAAACGAAGTCATAGGAAATATCGTTTTGCGATTGCTTTTCCGATCGCAAAACTTCGTCATGCAATTTCGTCGTAAAACGAAGCGCTTGTCTTGCGAGGCACCACTGTATAGTCCAAAGTAGTAACTTTTCCATATTGCCATGGATGCTTCTCTGTTTGAGACTCCAGAACAGCTACCAGTCCATGATCCTGGTCTAAGGCAGTTTTCAGTGACAACAGCTGGTCTGAACTATTTGATGCAAGTATTGCCGTATTTTTCCATGTATAAGACACCCCCATGTATAAGACTATTCTAACCCAAAATTAAGAAATCTAAGTGGGGCTTAGCAAGTGTAGGGGGAAAGGGATCAAAGCACTGCAGGATCACTTTGATCTCTGCTTTCCCCTCCACTTGTTTTTTCCTCTCCTCAGCATACTTCCATGTATAAAACGAGCCTCAATTTTTAATCTAAAGATTTTAGACAAAAGTATAGTCTTATACATGGAAAAATACGCTACTTCTATTAGAAATGCTTCTACAGGAGGGATGCGATTGGTTCTTCTCTGTTATCAGCTGACCTTGTTCAAAGTTTTAAAAGGCAGAGTGGGGAAACCTTGGATTTAAGGAAGATTTAAGGGCTCGAACTCTTGCCATACTGTGCTCTACCTTCCCTCTCCAGATGCTGTTCCCCATTCTCATCAAGCAACTACAGTCCTTGCCGGTTGAGCCTGATGGGAAGTGTATTTCATCAACACCTGACCCACAGATAGCAAGACAGCTTGACTCTTTTCCCCCAAAACCTCAGCTATATAGGCCACTGTCCTAGTATCGTGCTGTGCTTCGTGCTCTTAAGAACAGACACGTCACATGCAGCTGTTTTTAAAAGCCTTTAGCTCATTTGCCAAACGTGGTTAGGCCACCAGAACAAACACTCCCTTGCATTTGCCCCACTGAGATTTGTAAAGGATAGTTTTGTGTCATCCTCATTCACACTGCGGTGGCTTTTACTTTGGAGTAAAGTTTCATTTCTAAAACAACTAGACGGCTTTCTTTTCTCACCCACCACCACCTTTTCTCCAAAAAAATCCTAGGACAGCAGCTTTTTGATATTTTAGCTTTCTTGTAAAAGTCACATGAATTGGGCTAACCTCTTACAGTATTCTGTAAATATATTAAAAGGGGGGTGGATTTTATGAAACAGAACAAGACACCTGGCTTTTGTGATCACTGACTTGTGCTGATGGAATAGCTAAGCAATGGCATATGGATTGCTTTCTAAGATAGATTTACACAATGTAAGGATGACAACTGTTTTTTCTGTGGGTTTGGTAGAAGCATAGGCACTGAATATAAATGTAAATACAGATATCACACGCACTGTACCCTTCCTTGAAATCCACTTCTGGTGGGAATCTACTGTGTACATGATTCATGTACCCATTCAGTAATTTATAAAACCCAAATAAAAGTGGTAAGAATTTTGTTTTACATTTTACTTTTTCAGCAGGATTTGGGATTCCCAAATGCTTATGCAACTCATAGAACAGAATCATTGTGTTGCATCTATACTTTGTCATGCTCAGGACAGAGCAAGGGAACGGACTATATCTTACTGATTTCAGTGTGCCAACTGTAAGTCTAAGATAGGCTCTACCTGTGTTGCATCTATACTTTGTCATGCTCAGAACAGAGCAATGGAACGGACTATATCTTACTGATTTAAAGTGTGCCAGCTGTAAGTCTAAGATAGGCTCCAATCCAAAAAGGATACCAAGCAAGGCTAGCTCTCTCATTGGTGAGCAATATAAAAGAAGAATTTGTTCCTGCCTCAAAAATAAGTTGTGTTCAGGAGTCACAACTTACAATTTGTGCTCACTATATTCTATTACTAAACCCACAAAATGGAACAGCATCCGACCAAACAAAGGGTAGTAGCCACCCTCCTCATTCCTGGTCTCTCCCCCAGCTGTTTTTTTTTTAAACCAAAGTTGCAGACTTCAGTGTCATGACAAGCCATCATTTAAACTAACCAGACTTTGTAAGACAACGGCAAAGCTTGGATTAAGACTGGTTGGTGGCTAGCTAACCAATGACAGCTTGTTAGCAGAGGTATGTTCCCAAGCCAGATTTCAACAAATCACAATATGGCTTAAGATGCGGTCACTGTAGGGTGAAACAATGAACATTGTTTACAAAGGCATTGTCTTCCCCGCCCATTCTGTTACCCAGACATAATCTTTAGTTACTGAAAATACGGACAAAAATATATTAAGGATAGACTTAAAAATCCCAAGTTGCTGTGTCATCCATGAGTCAACAGGCTAGATGGTACAAAATCTAGAGGTGCATAGAGGAAATAAATATCCAAAAATGTGGTCGGCTATTACATCCATTATCTCTGCTTGCATAGCTACTCACAGACTGCAGATTTAGCAAAGTAGTATAGATCAGTGTAATGCAAGTGTGAAGTTTTATGGAGGAAAATCTGAAAGGTGGCAAGTGTAATAGAGGTTGATTTAAAAAAAAGGAAGTCAATTTCAGCAGTTGGAGTTCCAGATTCTGGAGGCAAGGCAGCAGAATTGGAGGTGGGATGAGCATGAAAAAGACTGTTTTTGCAAATGCCAATAGGGAAAAAAGGTGACCGTAGCTCAGTGGGAAGGCACATGCTTTGTGTTTTGGCCTTAATCAAATTTCTCTAGTAAAGGCTCAGATAATGGACCTGAAATACCTTTGCCGGGGCTGCTACTAGTCCAAATAGCTGATAGTGGGGACTAAGTGGACAAGTAACCTAACTTGGTAGAAGATACATTTCTTGTTTTGTTGACGAGAGTTCATATTTCTTTGAACTAGATAAATGGACGGAAGCTACATAGCAGCAGTTCGGCAGTCTATCTTGCAACATGGCTTCTTATCTGTGAGACATACCAAAAAAAGAGGAAAAAAAACTGGCAGGATTGAGTATTTTTACACGTGAGCAAGGGCTTACCTGCCAATGAGAAAGCAGGCCAGTCCTTGACAAAGAAATGTCTCCAATGGAACCCTGTTAGGGAATGTGAAGTGGAAGGGTAATAAGCATCTTCTCAGCTGATATTGTATTGTGTGTCTGTTCTCTCACCGATTGTGAGAGTCAAATGACAAGAGAACCTGTTGGAACAAGAGGAACACTGATAGGATTGGCCTTCTACTCCACATTTCTGCCATAGGATGTTGGCCTTTGTATCTATCATACATCTATGGGGTTTTATTTATTTATTTATTTAACTTATATGCCACAGTGATTAGTGATAAACACTACTTTGGGCAGTTTACATCCAGAGTTAAGGAACATAAAGTAAAACAAATCTTAAATATAGTAAGAAACACGTATAATCAATAAAACAATGATCAAATAATCAGTGAAAAAAACCTAGCAATGGCGAACAGGCAATTTAAAAATAATCCATCATATTATGTTGAGAGAGAAAACTCTCAAAAGCTTCAGTAGGCAGTCGTCTTGAGCATCCTTCTACGCCAAGTGTTAACTCCACCAGGAGCCCATTCCGGAGGACTCCCTGGGCCACAACTGAGAAGGCCCCGCTTCCTGGTTGATGGCTTCCTAGCCTCCCTTGGTGTGATGACCTGGAGGAGCACGGCCTGCGAGGAACGGATGCTGCAGGTGGACATTTTTAGGGAAAGACACTCCCGACGAGTGGTCCTGTGAAATTCAGAAAACCTCCAAAATAACAAGCTCAATAGCTAACATGAAAAAGTAGCTGCAACGCACCATGTTTTTAGAGTGAATTCTCGGCTCACACAGGCCAAGAGACCGAAATAGTTTTGCAAGCCCTTTACATGAACTCTGTGTAAACCCAAAGGAATGCCCCAGAGCCCACAGAACAGAGGGCTTTCTCAGCAGGTATGCGGTATTTCCCCAGGAAAGAAGGTGGCATGGAAACTGCTCCTAAAATACACAGGAAGGATTGAAAATCAGTAATCTACGCAAACAAATGAAATGAAAGGGAAATCAACACTTCTTGGTCACAAATTTTTATCTACCAGGACACAGACGTGTAAACATCACTTTAAAATAACCACCACTGTTTTTTAATTTATACTTGCCAGATATGTATATTTGGAAGAATCCAAGCCACATGCTCCCCCAGAGCAGGTCTGGAATACAGAAGGCACTATTTGTTCTGAAGAATAAACTGTTTACACCATGATAGAATTAAAAGTTTTTTTTATTTTTGCCATACAAAGCTCTAAAGACTAAAGGTCAAGTATTGGTTAATGAAAAGCAAAACACAGTTCCAAAAGGCATGTTAACGAAAAGACTGTACATGTTATATACATTACAGTACTGTAGTGATCCCCCCTCTCTACTGTAAAACCCAGTGTGGAATATACCACATTCACTTTTTATACTTTTATGCTTCTGTAGGAAATAAATAAGCAATGCATTCATTTTCTTCGTATTGTTATACCCATAGTTTGGAATGCTGTGATATAATTTCTCAAAAGGAACCATTTAAGGAAAAATGAATACACACACCCCATCTGCAACTACTACCACATAGTACTTTTTTATTTTTAATTTGAAACTAAGAGCTGTTTGGACATATTGCCCAGAATGAGGAGACACAGTTCTGGACTGCACCTCGTTAAGTCTGCAGGGGAATCATGTCTCTGAAGGTTCCTAAGTGCAAAACGTAAATGAGTACAAAAAAGGGCCACACTGTACAATTTTTCCCATTGTATATTATTGCATGCCAAAAGCCTTTATGCAAGAGGATTTCAAATATGAATGCAGTCTGAAGCTCTGCTTCCAGAATTGTGGCACCTCATTCTGGATTAAAATGACTCCAGGAAAACACACTCGGAACAAGCTGAACCAAAATCAAGGATGCTTATTTCCAAGTAGGTGTCTGAAACTGTTATGTCAAGACATGCTTATTAAAACTCTTTTAGCCTGGGGTGTATATTTGCTATGGAATTTCTGCTGAAAGCTGTGAAGTAATAGTTTTGTTTTGCTTCGTACAGCAGGATACTTAAAACACTTTCTTCTCAAAGCCAGTATCCTAATATTTACAGAAAGATGAACAATGAGACAAAAAAACTAAAGTTTTTATAAAGTCTTACAAAAAGTAACAGCCAGGTGCTTAACATAAAAACAATATGGTGTTGCTAAAAAAGGTAAGGTATGGAAAATATCCAGCATATTTCCAGTCCCATAAATTCTAGAAGTAAGGATTTCAAATATGTAACATACTTTATATGAACTCCTGACTTTGGATACTTAAACGTTCTTCCTTGGAAAATCTAGGAACCTGAGCGTAAGTTCTTCTAGCAAAACCAGCTTTGAACCTCGTCTTCCAGTCTTCTTTTAAATTTAGCCAAAAAAAGGGGGGGGTTAAAAATGGTATTGAATAATAGCATATTTTACCCCCAATATAACATCTGCTGTAGAGTAAATCAACAGCAAGTTATCTTTATTTTGCACAAAATAGTTTCATTTGAAATGGGTGGCCAATATTATTTTTTTAAAGGTCTTGTTATAGCATAAAATGTCAATGAAACTCTTTGACATCATGATGTCTCTTACACCTGACAGCATACATAATGAACAATGAATTATTAAAAACATTAATGATCACTGACATACCTTTGAAGTGCCAATTTCAACACATGGTTTACAAAACTACTTTAAAAGAACTCCACCCATAAACATGTTTATTCTCATTCTAGAGAATGGAAAAGCTGCATTTATACATCTAAACAAATGACATCACTTTTCTTTCATCACTACACACACTGATTTCTGATGCTCCTTCATCATCATAGCTTGTTATATTCCAGCCACTTTACTATCTGACCAAAGCCAAGTATTTTTAGAATGACAGATTGAAAATTTTGTTATATTCCAGCCACTTTACTATCTGATCAAAGAATGACAGATTGAAAATTAAGTTCTCAGAATGATTGCTTTCAATCTGAAAAATAAGTACATTTTAGATAAAATGAATGGAAAACAGAAGAAAAAATTATTCGATGGAAAGAGATTTTAATGACATACCACTGATCACTAACTAGATCTATTCATCACAGTCCTTTTCAGTCTTTTATAAGTTTTCCCCCACATTTCCCACACTATAATTTACAAAAAAACAAAAAACAGGACATTACTTGACATGAAACAATGACTGCTGACCAGTTTGCTTTGAGAACACACATATCTTGCTCAACATAAATTGCTATTTCCACAGCATTTTCAGACATCTGTACCAACTCGGAAAGAGGTAAGGAGTGCTACAGAGAAAGAGAGAGAGAAAAAAAAAAAAGGCCCGAGGCCCACTATGTTTCTACCATAACATCGTTATGTGGATGTTCAAATGCACTGGCTGGATACTCTTAAAAATTCTAAATATGCTCAGTTATAGAGCAAAAGTTACCACTTGTATAGATCTGAGGAGCAACTTCGGCATCCTTCAAACCGTAACACCTACAAAATTATATTTGTTAGAACTGTTTCCGAGGATCCAGCATGATTTCTTGGTAATTAAAAAAAATGTGAGCAGACTGCTCTTCCTCAATGTGACTCGATTTTCTGGGTAACAGAGCCCCATCAAAAGGATATAACACAATGGCCCAGCCACCAGATAATTATAGATACCAGATATAGGTAAAACTTGTCCTGCTTCCTTCAGAGGGAGAGATCTATTTTAATTCCAATAGATCAAACTTGCAGCATGAAAATTTTCTTGTGAATTTGCAATAGTGATTTTGGAGCAGAACAAGAGAATCAAAAGGCAGCTTTGAAAAGAACATGATGGATGGGCAGCACTGGTTATCCACTACATTTAAGGAGCTTATTAATTTCTACCTGAAACAAAGCAAACTTCTAAGTATTGCCCAAAACCAGTCCTGACTGTCCTTTTGTAATCTCAAGCGTTAATGAAACCATTTTCAGTATTAAAGTGCTAGTATGAAAGATTACATAGCCACTGGTTCAAGGGCTATTTCCATTATTTCTACAGAGCTCTTTCGCATCACTGGAAAGAAACGGCACCTTTCCACACAGTAACTTTCCAGATTTCGATCCGTACTAATGAGCCAAATGTATTTAATATCTAATTTCCTAAATTACTTTTCCTGGATTCAAGTTTCATTTTTCCTGATCAATTTTCTTCCATAAAATCATCCCACTGGAACAGGTATCCTAGACTGGAAATACTACCTTTGCTGGCTAGGTTGAAAACAAACAACAAACACTGAGTTACTACATAACATGAGATGTTCTGTAATTCTTTTAAAGCAGTCTGTTTAAGAGTTTTACTTTTTTTTTTTCCTTTTCCTTTTTTATAAAACAAATTATTTCTGCAAGGAACCGTTTCAATAAGACTCTGGTATCACAAACTCAAATTCAGTACTACCATCCGAGGGGTTTTGCTTAAAAAGCGACTCATTCCCTTGTGGAACAAAGATATCATCCCAGGTCATTGGTTTTGCCGGAGGATTAGGGGCGGGTTCTTGAGAAGCATCTTTCACAGGAGCAACCGGGTAAGTAAGAGCGTTGTCATTCCCCATAGGTATATTGCTGGAATTCCCTGAAATATAGGCGTAATTTCTGATCTGCAAAGATCTACAAGGATGCAAACGATAGAGCTTTGATTCTCCGGAAGGATCCTGGCTATGAACCGACCTGATATGTGTTGCCATGACCTGATAGTTGATGAAACACTGGCCACATGCCAAGCACTGGTATCTTCGCTCTCCAGTATGATGTATTTCGTGCTTGGTGCGGTATTCGGCAAGAGGGAAAACCTTCTCGCAATAGCGGCAGGGATATTTCTTCTCCCAGGAATGAACGTTGAAATGTCTCCGCAAGCTGGTAAGACAAACGTAGGACCTTCTGCAGACAATACAGATGTAATAGACTTTTCCATCCATTATGAGCTCATAGTGATCATCGTGCTTTACCTTTAAACGCTTCCTGTTGGCAGGATCATCCGCCGACGTCCTAGGCACGTCATCCAGACGGACTTCCCCGTCAGCCTCGTTCTTCACGGGGATTACAATGTCATACGTGTCTTCGCCAATATTTGCATAAACCTTGCAACCCGTCGACAAGCTTTCTATCTCGGTGGCTGTATCTAAAGTGATGGTCTTCTGGCCTTCTGTCACATGCTTTGGTGCAACCCCCGCTGGAGCATCTTTGTTGCTTCCAGAAACGACGTCGGAAATTTTTATTTTGAACTCAACGGGTTGAGAGACTGGCTGTGGTGGAAAGTTAACCACGGGCTTTTTCTCTACGCCTGTGCAATCTGTTGTTGTTGCAACAGTAATTGTAGCAGTAGCAGCAGTAGTAGCAGCAGCAGCAACAGTGGTGGTAGCGGCGGCGGCAGCTTTGGGAGTTGTAGGCTGCTGCACCAAAGAACTGCTGCTTGCTGAACCTGGACTAGATAAACCAAGAATGTCATCATCGTCTTCCACATCCTCCTCCTCCTCTTCTTCCTCATCAATGACAGTGGTGTCCATGTCGGTTAAGGAATCATTAGTAGATGGCTGATGATTCTCCTCAGGTATGGGCAAAACTTCAATTTCATGCGACGAACCAATATGTGGCGAAGCACGGATCTGTGCGGAATTCAGCCGAAGGACATTAGGAGCCACCGTTTTTGGAGCTGAGGGGACAGGCTGCTCAAGAGATGCATGGCTATCGGCTGGGTTTGTCTGAGCAGCGGGCAGGTCAAGCCTAGGAGCTGGTGGTGGTGGTGCTGCAGACGACTGAGGAGGGGATCTGCTGTTGCTACAGTTTGTTTGCTCAGAGGCACCCACAGGGTTTGGGCAAGGCTGGTTTTGTGTTGGCACTTTGGTCTCCAGAGGACGGTCCTTTGGAGGCACAAGCTCTGAGCAGAAGATGACGTCGTCATCGTCATCCGAATCACTAATGGTGATCTTTGTGGCATCAGAGTCCACCCCGCACAATGAAAATGATTCGGTTATCACTGGGTTCCCAGATACTAAAATTTGACTTCCAGGGTGGACCGGAGGCTTCGGTGTTTCAAGGCCATTTGCATCCGGGTCTGGCTGTTCTGAAGTGCTAGGCGTGACCGTCCCAGACATGCTTTTCACTTGCTGCAAAGGAGCTCCCAGATCAGCAAGGAATTTAACTCCCAACAACTCCCCTGATTTAATGAGCTCATCAAGCAAGTCAGATCTCACTCGGACTATTTTGGAGGTGTAGATATAGTTTAGAATTTCTGCAAAAACCTCGGCTCTTATGAAGTTCAGCTCAACTACCTGCCCTGCCACTGAGAAGAGCTGGTGAAAGTAAGTGCTTGAGGCCGACAGGACATTTCTGTGGGCTCGAAATTTCCGGTCCTCCACAATGACAGTGACATCACAAAAAAGTCCATGGCCACGCTGTTCATCCAGAGCCTTTAAGAGCATACCAGAGTACTGGTTGTCTGTTGCCGTAATTAGCTTTCTGGTCTCCATTCCTAAAATGAGAAAGAAGTATGTTCATTTTTCCCCCATTACAGAAGAGTGCATCTCAAACAAGAATGGGATATCAAATTGGGATATCAACTGGGATAAACTGAGATATCAAATTAATTAAGTGATTATGCAACATTTTAATTCCTCTAGGGCAGGGGTCCACAAACTCTTCAGTATGAAGGCCACATCATATATTTTACACATTTTCAAGGGCCAAAGGAGGGAAAAGGGACCCAAGCAATCCTCTACCTCCCAAGCAAATCCAGTTTCACAACATTACAGCAACCCTGGTTGTCAGAAAAGAGCTTCAGGAAATCTCAAAGAAAACACTTCCAGTAAATCTTCTTTCCCTAGAACTATCTTGCAGGACACTTACAAATATTTCTAAGCTGAGATGTTGGTCTGTGCAAATCCCATTCACTGAGACCACTTATAATATTACAACAGCTTATTTATTTATTTATTTATTTATTTATTTATTTATTTATTTATTTATTTATTTACTTACTCACTCACTGACTCACTCACTCACTCACTCACTTCTTTATTTATTTATTTAACTTATATGCCACCCACACTACCCAAAGGTCTCTTTTAATAACAATGTCAGTTTTATTCTCCTCAAGCAACAGACAAAATAAATTCTAATAGTTAAAAAAAATATTAGGCTTAAGAAGACTGACGTTAGATATGTTAGCATTTTTCACATATTTGAAAGGTAGTCATACACAGGAGGGGCAGGATCGGATCTCAGTTATCCCAGAGTGCAGGACACATAATAATGGGCTCAAGCTACAGGAAGCCAGATTTAGTCTGAGTATCAGGAAAAACTTCCTAACCGTTAGAGCAGTATGACAGTGGAACCAACTACCTCGGGAGGTGGTGAGTGCTCCAGGGCTCAAGGCATTTAAGAGAAAACTGGAATCTGTCAGATCAGCTTTGATTTGGATTCTTATACTGAGCAGAAGGATGGACTAGATGGACGTATAGGCCACTTTTGACTCAAATCATTCTACAATTTAATGAAAAAGACTGTGGCATTCTGTAGAGAACGAAAAGCTGGACATTAAGTGGTAGACAGTTACATATGTGTGATAGTCAAGTTGCAACCATGATCAAATCATTCAGGTCTGATGCCTTTAAGAACAGTGTGAAGGAAGAATTTTGGCAATACCCAGTTTCCCATAGTTGTACAGTAATGCTATGATTTAGTAAGTGGCATCTGTTGAAATTCTGCCTTTTGCACAATTATTAAAGGCACAGGAGCCTGGCTCCCAGTGGTAACCATACAGCAAAAAGATACTCCTGTGCATTGTGGTATTAAAAATAGGATCAGCTCCTGCAGCAGATAAAAAGGGATGTGGAAAAAGTGCATTCGAATGAAACACGATTAAAATGAAAAGCAAAATACTTGCAAATGCTGCAGATAAGAGCGCCAGCTTGGTTAACCCACATAAGCAAGGTGAGACATGTCCATATGCTAATAAGCTACAGAGGAGGATTATAGATTAGTAGGGCAGCAGAAGTGAGTGTTCAAGATCCTGAAGCCTAGCAAAGAGTCACTTGCAGGTCCAAAGCTAATTCAAATGCCACATTTCTGGAATAGCACCCTTTCATCCCGAGCTTCAGGTTTATAAGGGGCAACCAACCTGTGAGAGGAAAGAATGTAACAGACAAACTTTCAAAACTCTCCGTTTCAGCTTGCTCAACCACCATCGCTTAGAAATCAAACTGGTTTGGACTAGCCCTCGTTGCTCCTACTCTAGGCTGCAGTTGCAGAAGGAAAAAGTGGGAGCACTTGACGTCTGCTGGAAGATTGGCTTCTATGTTCTGTTCCTGTTTAGTCCAAAGGCTATGAACTATATTCAGCCTTCTACCACCCTGACGGTACTACTGAAGGGGCTACCTCTTTGCAGAATGCGCCTTTCTTTCTGAGCTTGTATTATCTGCTCCATGTATTTCTTTAAGTGGATTATGGTAGTAGGAAGCCTGAGAGAAAGAGAAACGGGGGAAACAGACATGATGTCGGCTAAGATTTTAATGTAGTGCCAAGTACATGACTTGGAGTATTAGTGACATATGACCAGCACCCCAATAAATCCAAGGATGGATCGTAATCTAGATCAGATACCGCAGGACTGCAACATCCTAGCTAGCAAAAGCTGTAATATGAGATGGTGAGAACCGCAGACCAACACTGACAGCTTCTGGAAGGTCACATATTGGCCATCCTGGATGCAAAATAAAAACAGGTAAGAAACTCTTCAGATAGATCAATATAATAGGGGCCTACAAAGGGGACACTGGAGAGCATATACATTGCAGCCTTTAATTTCAAAGCTTTAAATCTGCTAGCTTTAAAAGTAGCCTCACACACAGGTCTGGCTTAGGTATAATAATTCTGATCTGATATGCCATATTGTATTGATCCAGACAGGAAGTGCATTCATTCTCTCTCCCTGATCTTCACAGACATCAGAACATAGCTTGTAAAGAAGAAAGCAACTTTAGATGTGAAGCACACAAAAAGCTGTCATATGGAATATCTTTGTCAAACTAGAATAACAGGTTTTTTTTTGGGAAAAGAACTGGAGAGGAGAAAATCTTGGGAAATCATTGTTGGCTTTCGATATGGGTTATGTTCAACGCTGCTCACCATCTCACTGTGCCAAAACAGGAGTAGGGAATCAGCTATTCACGCTGTTCTTCAGCTGGGTTGGGCTTTTTACATGCACAAACATATAGTAAAAGAAAGAATCACAAGCATAAACAAGAATACCGATTAAGCTAGGAGGAGTAAAGAGTGAATGCAGCTGTCATATACTTTAAGGAAGAAAAACAGAAGCACTTAAAGTGTGATATACAAACTGGGTTTGTGGCAGGTGAAAAAAAAACTAAGGCATCATTTATAAGAATATTTGGGGGGAAGGGGGGGAGGAAAAGATATGACAAGAGTGATCTGGGAGTTGAGCAGGAAGGAAGGAACAAGCCATGAGAGCAGAGTGAATGAAACTAAAGGGCGTAGTGAAACAAATGACCACATGGGGTAGCCGGGAGGGAAATTATGTGAATGAAAGAAGCCATGTGGGGTGAGCAAGTAGGAGAGTGTTGCAGTGGAGAACGGGAAGAAGCAATGAGAGCAAAATGGGAAGGAGGGCAGACCAGAAGGAAAAAGTGTGAAACAGAGGGCTAGTTGCACAAGGCAAGGAACAATGACATTAATAATCAGGGAAGGGCAAAGATGATGGCAGCCAGAAGCAGCAGCATCATATTATAACATAATCAAAACAGCTAAATCACAAATTCTAAATCTGAAGTATTCATTCTTCAAATTGGTGATCTCCAGATGTTTATTCTGCTAAGAAAATAAGACACCACTGGGTTGTTGCCATGGATTTATATGAATGCTTTGATATCCTCCAACTCTGCTGGGCTCCAACATCCATGTTCCCATGGTCATTGTTATCATGTTGGGGGTGACATCCCATCCCTCCCCCTCAAGATCTTCCCCAAGCCAAAATGGAGGAAAAGGGGAGGACTAAACCTAGGATATTTGGACTCACAAAGCAGGTATTCTTGCTAGCTGCTGAGCTACACAAAACCAGGGCTGGGGTAACAATATTGAGGAAAAGAGAGAAACTAGAGAATGAATTTTGAGAAGAACAAACTGGAGAGTGGAAGAGTAGACTAAAATTTAGGAGAGTGATAAGTCTGAAGAAAAAAACTGAGCAGATGTTTAGTAATTATTTTGGGAGGGGAAGAGACAAGTTTTATTTGGTTTAAATTTTGGAGACAGAAAGAAAGATACCACCACTTCAGAGAGAAAAACAAGATTCTGAGAGGGCATCTGCACTGATCATTTACTCTAGAGTTTGCATCAGATTTGGCATGAACAAATTCGAATTAAAAACCAGTGATTACTTGATGCAAAGCTAGCTGTGGGGAAACCCAAAGGAATTGTCTCTTTTTAGTTTAGCCAGCAATGGTGGTTTAATTTTCCTCTGATTCACTGGCATCTCTCTTCTCTGCCTTCTGCTCTGTGATACAAAGGAGCGTTTGTGGGGTGTCTGTTCCCCTCAACCGAGAGCTTCTTGTCTCCAAAGTGTTTTTTTTTAAAAAAAGCTTTCCAAAGTCATCACCAAAACAAATTACCACTAAGCCACTTTGGAAAAATTATTTTTAAAAAGAAGTTTAAAATGATAATTAGCACCTTGTCAGATCAAAGGCATCTGAAACAGGGTGTGTATGAGAGAGACAGACAGACAGACAGAAAGTGAAACTTGCTTGTCATCTGTAAGAGTAAGGTGATACCTTTTATTGGACCACTAAAATATCAAACAGCAAACTTTGGTGGAGGAAATTCCACTTCATCCCGCTGGACACCACTATCATCTGGAGGACTAACCACAGACAGGAGAGGAATGAGAAACAGAAGCAGTAATTTAACAAATACTCCTATAATCTCGGAACTGCAGAACTGGAAGGGACCCTGCGGATCCTCGAGTCCAGCCCCTCTTCAAGGAGGCCCTTGAACACCACGGACACCAACAGGGGCCCCCATTTTCAAATACTGCAGAACACAGCGGATCAATGCAGATCACAACGGATCTAAAGGATCTGGGCCTATATATTCCCCTGCTGCAGGGTGGCAGCCCTTGATAGCTGTGAGTGCTTTGAAGAAAAGAAAAAAGCGGGAGATTTTAAGAAAGTAAAAATGTTGGAGAAAAAAGGGACGCATCTGAAGACCAGACATGATGGAGGTAGTAGTAGTAGTAATAGCAATAATAGTAATAGCAGTAATAGTAATAGAAGACCAGACATGATGGAGGTAGTAGTAGCAGTAATAGCAATAATAGCAATAGTAGCAATAGTAGTAGCAATAGTAGTAGTAGTAGCATTTCTTTCCACAAGCCTTGCACTTTCACCAAATCAAGTAGATTCAAGGTAGAGATGGGAAATTCATTTTTGTATATGAGTACGAATATTTTGGACCCAGGCTGCCAGGAAGCGCAGTCCCGCGTCCCCAAACCGACCCATCCACTTATGGGTCACCACCCAGTGCATATAGCTAGCATCCTGCTCATTGTGTCAATCTCAGATCTAGCTCAGCTGGTGCTTCTCTGCCTTCCTGCACATCTGGCCACTCCAACCAGGGGGCGGGATAATGAGTTTTCCTGCTCAGCTGCTGAGTGGCCAGAAATGCAGGAAGGTAGAGAAGTGCCAGGTGGGCTACATCCGAAATTCGCGTGATGAGCAGGATACCAGCCACATGTACTGCACCTGGGTACAGGATATTTGTATTTGTATATGAATACGGATATCTCATCTCTAAAATCAAAGAGTCATGGGCAAAAAAGTAACTTTTTCAAACTCTGACATAGCCTCTTTTGGATATACACATGTTGGGAGATTTTTGAACAGAAGTTTAATGGGACACAGATAATGGCAAATGATATTTTTACAATCCATGTAATATTTATTTATTTATTTACCGTATTTATTTATTTATTTATTTGATTTATATCCCGCCCATCTGGTATATTTATACCACTTAATATTGCTAAGCATATCATTTGTTAGGGAAATTAGAAGCAATGATGTGGGATAGCTAAGAGATTATTCTGATTCCCCTTTCTAGACAGGAAAAGAGCACAGACTGGCTGCTAGAGGTGAATGGTGGACAGCCGTGTCAAAGCATGATACACAACAAAGGTGCGGGCAAGGGCCGCCGCGCAGACACTTGTTCGGCCCTTTCCGGAAACCCGGTCGGCAACTTTCGGCGCCTGTTCCGAAACGACCTTCCCCCCCTTCGGATGTTTCCGGAAGGTGAAGGCAAGGGACCGGGGGAGTCCCACCACGCTCGGGATTCTTCGGGCTACGGCTCGGTCGTTTCCGAACCACGGCTGGGCTAGGAGCGAAAGGGTCCGAACACGCTCGGAAGGCTCCGGAGGCGAGACCGAAAGGCGCTTCGGGAGTTTTCGGCTTTCGCGTGTCCCGGGTGCTTGAGGTCTCGCGGCTCCATCTTTTCCTTTTCCAAGGAGGCCGGCGGCGAAGGCGTCGTTCCGGGCGGGGCAGGAGCCGGAACGCCGCCCACGTGGAAAGCAGGCAGGCAGGCCGGCCAGCCCTTGCAAGCTCTGAAGCCACGTGCGCTCCGAAACCGGGGGAAAGCATGGCTCCGGACCTTGGATGGAAAGTCCTTGGGGCACAAGGAAACTTACTTCGGTGCAAACAGGATCGGATTTGCAACCCTAGGCATCCTCTACTGGGCAGTCAATCAAGCTCAGACTAGGGTCTACAAATTAAGGAATCTGCATCATTCATTCCAAAACCCGCACAATCTCGGTCAGAAATAAAACGTCTTAGTTCTATGCAACTTGCATTTCTAACTGTGCCCGAGTTGCACGAATGCAGGTTAATTTTCGTCTGTCATATCAGGTGCTCTACAAATACTGTAAAGGGGCCGGCTGAAGTCCACGCGAGTCTTACTGAATAGCCACAGAATAATGAGGAAGAAAGGGAAATGGCTTAATGTCTTTAAAGGCCAGATCCGGTGACCTTCTTTACTCTAAGACAATGTTTCAAAACTCCAGATTCATCTCAATCAAGTATGTCAAACAACAGCTGCAAGTAAATTCGGTCTTGCCTTTCTTTTCAAAAAGTGTTTTGCAACTAATAGCAACAAAAGAAAAAAGTTTACTGAATGAAGCATGCTTTAGTCTCTAGGAACCAGAGGGTGCAATGCAAGCATCACTGGAGCATTTAAGATGGTAAGAGAAATTGCAGAGTCCTCCTATTTGTTCTTGAATAAAAACAGAAATATATTTTGCTGTCCTCTGAAGATGCCGGCCACAGAGACTGGCGAAACATTAGGAAGAACCACTTTCAGAACACGGCCAAGAAGCCCGAAAAACCCACAACAACCAGAAATATATATGTTCTCTAACCAAGGTAGCCTAGCAGAGATAAACTGATTTCCTCTAACATCAGCAACTTAAACTGTATCTAAAAGCCCTTAAGCTGCCTGCAAGCTAGAAAGTGAATTAACAATGCAAGGTGTTACCACTTTAGATGAAGGGTCAACTCCTTAGCATATCAAAACTGTTGATTAGGGGATAGGACAATAGGCTACTTAAAGCAGAGCTTAAGTAGTGTCTTCCCCCTCGCCCAAATCTGGAGTCCTGCTGCTTAATCACCTATTGTCATTTAATTCATTTGTAAACTGGTGGATTGTAGTCAAAGGCCTATTCATTAAAATAGCTGTAAGCTCTTGTTTTCCTAATGAACTCTACCAAGTTGTAGGCAGCACAGCCTTGCAATTTGAATGGTCTCCAGCACAATATGCAAGTGAAATCTACAAATGTATTATCCTGTTTTCTAAGAGCATCCAAACTTTGGAATACTTTCCTGTTATCTGCTGTCAAATCAGAGCTGACTTACAGCAGTCCATCTGCCCTGCTCAGTACAGCTCGTGGTAGGAGAGTGTTATAATGTTAAATCCAAAACATCTAGAAGGCTAAAATCTCCTCACAGCTGCTCTGTCCATTCCACCTCACTCTTCCCTGGAAGAAATTAAAGGAAGAGATGATAGAATGTGTACATGTTCTTCCTCTGTCCACATTAGGATTCCCAGTATTCCTTCCTATCCACATCCTTTTTTATGGGCAACTTTAATAGTGACACTTCCTTGGAGAGAAAAATAATCCACAGCATGTGTACCTCCACTGCTACTTGCATTCAGCAACAAGTGGCTCTACCTGTTTTTCTTCCCACTGGATGGTGCTTGCAATTACGCTACCCCTGTAAGACAGGTTTCAAACAAAGCAGCTCTCAATTGCCTACAGTGCTGGTATTTAAACTCACGCAAAACTGGAAGGAAAAGCAGCTGTTTCAAACAAAAACTGTAACTTCTCCAGTTAAAAGTTAACACCCTACATTCTAAACCCATACAAGAAAACTATGATGCGTAATATCCTAGAGGAGTTTTGAAATGAATGCTACTGCCAACGCCCCCAAACCAGTTTAGGATCCAACCCACCTCAAGCTCGGGTGGCCCTGCTCGAAGTCCTTTTACTTAAATTGGTAAATGTAACTGTGGGAAATGCACAGTACATTTACCAAGGGTGCATACCATCTAAGACTGAAATAGCCATGTAGCACCTTGCTTCATTAAATAAGCCTGTTAAAACCACTACTATAATGCTGAGACAGGATTGCTAGTTTCTACAGTCTGAAGCTCAAAACTAATAAAAAGTAATGCTTAATTCTGCAAACAATAGTACTAAATCCTCTAATCCAGAGAGACAACAGGTCTTGTGAATGTGTGAGCTTCGTTTCTGTCACAGTGGGGGAAACAACCGGAGTATGATTAAAGATTAAGTTATTTTATTGGGCAAAATAAACAGCCTAGCCTATGCATGATAGACGAAGCGAGCTGCCAGTTGCTGAAAGCTTGCACCACGTCATAAAATGCTGATTATCTTGATGTCCCAAGACTCTTTTGTGGTCTTTCCCTGCATCTCGAAAGAAGGAAGACCGCAGGATCGAGGCTGATGTTGACCTCTTAAAAGAAGTGAGGTCTGGCATATTATTGCCACCCAGATAGATGCACGAAATAAAACGGGAAGCCCCTTCAGCCGGGACCTTCTTAACCAGGCCGAACAGATCCAGAGCCGGGGAAGTCTAAATCCCACGAAGGAGGAGGAGGAGGAGGAAGCCACAGCCCCCCTCGGCTTCCCAGCACGAAGGCCCCGCCGGGCTTTCCTTTCGATCCAAATTAAGTTGGGATCCAGGAGCCGCCATAAAGCCACTCCTCCTGCTGCTGCTCCTCCTCCTCCTCCTGAGGTGAACTGCCGGGGCGTCCCTCTGGCCACCGCCCGCCCCAAGGGCCGGGGAACGGGGAGGGATGCTCTTACCTGGAGCCTTGCCTCCCGCCTCGGTCATGGCGCCCAGCTCCATCGTTTCTCTCTCTCTCTCTCTCTCAGGGGCTGCAGCCCATCCGAGCACAAAGGAAACGCCCCCAGGAACCCTTCGCGAGGGGCGCCTTGTTGCCACACGGGCAACAAGAGCGGGCACCCGGAACGGGGAGGGGGAGCGGGAGCGGGGAAGGACCGGACCATAGAGTTCCGAAAAGGAGCGACCCCCGGTCCCCATAGAGGAGAGCAGCGCAGGCTTTAGAAATCAATACTGCGCCTAACTGCGACCTTGGAAAAAGGCCGCATAAGAAGGAATGTTAGGAGAGCGGTGCCGTCGGCGCCCTTGGAGAGCAGGACCGGAAGTGGAGGGGGGGAAACCGTATCCCCCATCAAAATGAGCTGAGGGGATAAGTGACTTATTCCGTACTTAAAAGAACTCTTGAATACACCCGGAGACCAGTTTGAACCTGCGGGTTAATGAACGTCCAGAAAGAAAAGCAGCTCAGAAAGTCGGAGTCAGGACTTAGGAGTGGGGGGGGGGGCTCTTGATCTGGAACTTGAGAGATTTGGGTCCGAGCTCCCAAAATGAACCACGGAACAGGAATAATCCCATCAAGTCCCTTCTGACTTATTGTGTTTTCTAGGGTAAAGCGTACTTGGAAGTGGTTTGCCCTTCCCTTCTTCTGGGGGTTGCCCTGGGGCTGTGCAGCTGGGGCCCAAGGCCACCCGGGACTGGCTCTGCTTCGCAAGAGGCCCTGCTGGGAAACAGCCTCCCAACCTCTTGACTCCGCAGCCAGAGACCTAAAGCTGGGTGACTTGAGGCCGGTCCTCATTTCCTCAGCTTGACCTGCCTCTCAGGGTTGTTGTTGTCAGAATAAAGCCAGGGGGAAGGAACGCCCGAGACGCAGCAGGCCAAGCGAGGTCTGATTCTCACAACTCATCCTCCTAAACTGGTTTCTGTCTCCCGCCCCCTCCCTGGGATCCATCTTTTGTGTGGATGGGGGAAAAAAAAAACTTAATCCAGGCTTTGTTTTGTTGTTCTAAAGGCCAAGGCGGAAGTGAGGTGGATCAACGTTGGCGGCAGCCTGGCCGGAAGTGACGTTGCCCCTCTGCCGGAAGTCGTCGTGTTGTCGTTCTCCCCGTCGTCGGGCGTCGCTGCTTGGGCCCGGGAGGGAGCTGAGGCGGCGGCGGGCAGGGCAGGGCAGGGCAGGGGGGCCGCCTCCATGGCTCCGGTGTCCCGTTCGCGGAGCCCGGCGGCGGAGTCTCCGCCTTCCCGGCGGGAGCGGCGGCGGGATGGCTCGGCCAGCCCTCCTTCGCCTCCTCCTCTCCCGGCTTCTCGGTCCGGCCGGAGCCGAAGGTCCCGCTCGAGGTCGAGGTCGCGATCCCGGGAGCGCAACGGGTTCCGGCCTCCGTCCAGGCCGCCGCACCACTTCGCTCACCGCCTGGAGCCGAAGCCGCCGCGAGGGTTGTGGCACTCCGAGGCCGGCAAGGAGCAGGAGGAGTCCCTCCGGCAGAGGTAGGCGAGGGGAAGGAGGGAGGGAGGGAGGCCCGGCGGGCGGGCGAGCGGGCGACCCACCTACCGACCGGCCCTGGCGGTCGCCGCTTGACCCGGCCGGCGGGCGGTGGCTTGGCCGCAGCAAGGATGATGACGACGGGAGCGGTGCAACGGTCGCCCTCGGCCTCCGGCTGTCCCCCACACACACCCCGGCCGGGGGCGGGTTGCCAACTGCCCTGCCGTGGCTGGGCTCCCAGCTGTGTACACACACACAAACACACAGACACACACGCACGCGCTTTCTGTTGAGGACCTGCGCCCATCCAGGCGCCTATGAGATCTATACGTCTGCGGGGGTGCTTTCTGTTGTCTCCATTTCCCCCCCCCCACTCGCATCCCATTAGATTTGTTGTTTCTCCATTTCCCCAAGGTCCGATTTCCAGCGATGCCAATTCTGCATCCTGTTGCATAAAAGTAGCTGGCAAAGCTTTTATGCAGAGCTGTTTCTTGTATGTAGTACAGCAAAGTTGCTTATATGGTACAGGGCTACTGTTAAAGACACAGAGCACAGCTTTTCTGCAAATATTGCTGTGTGTTCCTTATCCTTGTTACATTTATCCAAGTTAGGAGGGATTGTTATAATTCCAGGATGTGGAGCATAAACAATTTACGTTGTTCAACTCTTGAGTTTACTTTTTTTTGCAGAAATATATGTACACAAATTGGAGGAGTTCTCTTCAGAGAGAGATTTACTTCTAAAGAAGCATGCATAACTATCCTTGTTACATTTATCCAAGTTAGGAGGGATTGTTATAATTCCAGGATGTGGAGCATAAACAATTTACGTTGTTCAACTCTTGAGTTTACTTTTTTTTGCAGAAATATATGTACACAAATTGGAGGAGTTCTCTTCAGAGAGAGATTTACTTCTAAATAAGGATGCATAACACTGAGCACAAAAATGTTGTAATCATATATATTAAAAGTGTCAAATGTTTCTGTATCATCCTTTTTTTGTATCTAAGAAATGACCATGTTTTCCTATTGCTACATTACCATCATCCACTGTCTATACATATGAAGTACATTTTAACAGTGATGTTGTATCTTTTACAGGCGATTAAATGAAAGAGAAAGAATAGGTGAACTAGGAGCACCTGAAGTTTGGGGACTGTCACCAAAAGTTCCTGACCCAGAGTAAATATTTTTAAAGTTTTATTTCTTCTTCTTTAACCTCAGAGTGATGTAAAATATATATTCTCTTGTACCCTGTCTTGCTTTTGCATATAATTTTACATTTCAAGCTGGGAGAAGGATTGCTTCATACATAGCCGCCTAGAGTGGTCTTCATCGACTAGATAGGCGGGATATAAATAGAATAAATAAATAACCAAATGTAGAACCTCCTGGCATGTTTTGCCTTTGGTCCAAAGTATACTGACAGTTTAAACCTTAATAGATGTTTTTACTTGCAACAATTCCACCAAAGGCCTGTCCACATAAGCATTTTTTTTGGGGGGGAGAGGGGATAGTTTGGGCTTGTGAGAAGAGATGTTCAAGTTAAGATCTCTTTGGACTTGTTCCATTAGTTTTAAGATTACTTCTGTTCTGCCTTTAAATCCAGTTCTGATGAGCATACCCCTGCAGAAGATGAAGATGGGACATCTAAAAAGAGCAGCTCCTCTGATTCCAGTTCAGAAGGTAATTTGTGTTGATCATATGTTGTTCAGGGACATAAAAAGGAAGGATCAGTAGAGAACTAAGTGCTAACTGAACTCTCCCAGAATTAAGTTATCATAGAATTTAGTTATACTAAAATCAGTATAAGGTATAAACAAATCTGGCACTTTCTGACTTAAGAATAATTTCTGTTCCCTTAATAGCTGTGATCAGATTTTCAAAGGATGTGTGCTCCAAAAGTTTGGTCATCTGCCTTTCCCACTATATAAGGCAAGAGTGTAATTTCACCCTATTGTTGGGAGAATGTCCATGCAGCCCAAAGACAGTAATGATGCTGTTCCTCCTTGAGTCTGTTATAACAGGATTAGGAAGTGATAATTCCCAAAATGATATGTTAAGAGTGAGCAGTTTGCTTTGATTGTAATATATATTCTTTTAAATATTTTTTCAGAGGAGGAAAAAAAGAAGAAGAAGAAAAAGAAAAAGAGGAAAGCTGCTTCACGTATGTGTGAGCTTGTATTGGGTAGTGTTCACTCTCTTTGGACTGCATTAAACAATGGGATTAGGGAGTGGTCGTCTAACATAACCCTTAAATCTTGTTGTTTTCTGCCTTCTTTGCTTTCAAATTGCTCCCGCATTGACCTTACTCAGTTTTTAAATCATTTTTTCTGAAATGATGTAGGTGATGAGGAAAAAAAGAGATCGAAGAAGAAGAAGAAGAAGCACAGAAAGTAAGATACCTTTTTAATATATTAACATCTTTCAGTTTTATATTTCTATGGGAGTGGTTTCAAAATCCTGCTTTTACGGTTTCAAAATCCTGTTTCCTCACCTACTTTATACCAGTGGTTCTTAACGTGGGCGATAATGCCCCCCAGGGGGCGATTTCATTTTTGATACCTTTTTAATATATTAACATCTTTCAGTTTTATATTTCTATGGGAGTGGTTTCGAAATTCTTTTATGGTTTCAAAATCCTGTTTCCTCGCCTACTTTATACAATGCTGAGAATCTGTGTTGTCACCAAGAGAATTGATAAAGAACTGTTTTTGCTGTGCTTGTTCTTAAGATTTGTTAGTGTTTCTGTTTTTATATTTTTGTCCTCCTTTTGCCCTTACATTAACATTGTGGCAGAAGCTAACAAAAGGCAGCAATTCTTTACCTGGAAATAAGGCTCGCTGAACTTAATTTTAACTACACAGACCTCGGATTTACACCCAGTGGGGACTGGAAGAAGTGGCCGGTTCATGTTGTCAGTGTCTTTAAAATGATTTCACAGGATGGCAAAGGGACAGAGTGGCTCCCTTTGAGCTGCTCACATCATTTTTGCTACCGTAGCAGTGGGCGGGTGCAGACCTACAGATGCTGTCAGACTACAGCTCCCATCAGTCCTGACTGTCATAGCCAGAAATATTGGGAAATAAAGTCTAGTCACGCTTGCCCATCCTTGTATTATATGAAGAGTTTTTTTAAAAAAAAACTGTTATCCTTTTTTGGCACCCTCTCTGTAGTCCTGCAGATATCTTCATTACTGTATTAATTATTTTTCCTGTACCCATACCTACATGGTTAACATCTGGTTAGAATCAAGACCAAAAATGTTTTTCTTTTGCATTTGTCTTCTTCTCTTGCATTTTTTCTTCTCTCTTTAACACTTAGACACTCATCCACCCCTTTTCCTGCCCACATTTCCACAGAAAGAAGTCCAAGAAAAAGAAGAGCAAGAAAAGCAGGAAGGACACCAGCGATTCGAGCAGTGACGATTCCAGTGATGAGGCTGTACAAGGGGATGAGCTCTGGATTGAGCGATCAAGTAGGTTGCGGCTGCTTAGCATCCCTGGCAAAAACCCATTTGCAGATGTAGCCGTTGCTAAAGGGCAGATGGATCCTGAAAATATACTGAAAATAAGAAATAGCCCAGTTTTTCAAATGCAGTGGTGCCCAGCTAGACGATGACCTCACAAAATGGTTTATTTGCTAGATGATGAGTTTTTGCGATCGCTATAGCGCTTTGCAAAACGGTGTTTCCTATGGGCGATTTTCACTTGACGATGTTTCGGTCCGTGCTTCACAAGATGGTTGTTTTTTCTTGGCAAACGGTGTTTCCTATGGGTGATTTTTGCTTGACAATGTTTTGGTCCGTACTTCACGAGAGTTGTTTTTTTCCACTTGACGATTTTCGCAAGACGACGATTTTAACAGCTGATCCGCACTTCACAAAATGGTTTCTCTATGGGCGATTTTTGCAAGATGACCATTTTTCCCCATTGGAACGCATTAAACGGATTTCAGTGCATTCCAATGGGGAACCGCATTTCACAAGACAATGTTTTTGCAAAACAGCGATTTTCGCAGAACGAATTAACATCATCTTGCGGGGCACCACTGTGTTTGTTTGTTTGTTTGACTTATATATCGCCCCGTTAGTGTGATGCAATATTCTGGGCCATTTACAACAGTAAATAAAACATGTACTATTAAAACTACAAATAAACAACAACAAATTGGAACATTTGACAAGTGCACCCAACAGAGAGGTGATTTGAAGGCCCTCTCTCCCTTGCATGCAGAGTGGCCGACGGTTAATGGAATTGAAGATGAGACGGGGTGGGGAGAACAGGGGGATTGTTAAGACAGCCAAACCAACAGACAGAGTGACAAGCATGTGAGGACAAATCCAACATTGTAGAGCGGACATCCTATAGTCCGGGAGGGCTTTCCTCTCCTCTTCTTCCCCATCTCGGGCTAACCCCTTACACCTCTGCAAGACAGTGGGAAGGATTGCTCCTGGTTTCTCTGACAGAAGCCGTTCCCTCCACAAGATGATCCAGCTGGGTGTTGGTCTTCATGCGCAAATCATTTTTGTAATGCTTTAAAGAAGTCTTGATTTATCGTCCTTTATTCCTTCATTGCAGAAAACACAGATGCTGTAGATTTCATTGGCCCAGAAGCTCCCATCACCCATGCCTCCCAGGATGACCGGCCCTTAAAGTAAGTGCAGTCAGCGGTGGCTTATGTAAGCAGTAGAAATCAAAGATTTCCATTCAAGTCAAAGTATATTGCAGTCTCCAGCACTTTCACTGCTCTCTTAAACGATCCCAGCATTGTGCACCCTACCTCTGCAGTCCTTCAAACAAGCATCAGGTCAGATCAGTGCTGTTGTGCCGGTGTTTAGAGATGGCAGCTTGAGTTTGCAAATAGCATGCTTAAGCTCATTTGCTTCCTTAATTTGTTGACCAGTTATGCTCTGATTTGTGGACACATGCTCCCTGAGATGCCATCAGAATGGGTCACTTCATGATTGGGGCAAATGATACAAAATTTACAGTCCACACCGTGCCCCATCTTCCCGGTGTGAATCCAGAAGGGTGTGTTGCATTGGAGCTACTGGAAAACCTGTCTGTGTTGTGGTCCACAACATACCCTCTTTGCAGACCTGTGATGGCGCCAGAAGTCTTGTCTACATTTCCAAACATGTCACTTTGAGTACATAAGTGGGTGGGTGGGTGGAAACTCAAGTTAGGCAAAAGTGCCTGCCCTTCTTGACCAAGCTTCAGTTGCCTAGCTAACAAACTGGAGGAAAACCCAGATGGACGAAAGAAGCCTCTAGGACTAGAGATGGTCTGGAAGGAAACTGGGCTAGCAGGGTGGACTAAGCAGGGGTAGAAAATTCATATTTTATCCATCATTCTGGGGCTTCTTGCAACTGAATCTTTTACTTGAAGCTTCTTACTTTTAAGTTCTTTGCACTGTAAGATCCATTGCTAGAGAGAGATGCTGGTAGAACTTTGGGATTTGAATAATAACTAGAGAAGAACATTAAGTCTCTTGAGAGGCAACCCCCCCTCGTCACTTCCCAGGGTTTTCATATACATTGATAGCATGCGCTTCTCCAACCACAAATGCACAGCACAATTCTTCTCCCATGCGTAAGTGAAACAGCTAGTTTTCTAGATTCACATAAAGAATCCACCTACTCCGACTGCAGCCATGCAGCTTCCTAGATTGTCTAGTTTGGACAGGAAACAGTACAGATTTAGCAGATTGCATCTGCATTTTTGAAAGGCTGTGACTTTGTTGGTTTGAGATGGAATTTTTCTTTTTCTTTTCAAGCTATGGACATGCTCTGCTCCCTGGTGAAGGGGCCGCCATGGCGGAGTATGTAAAAGCCGGGAAGCGTATCCCTAGAAGAGGTGAAATCGGCCTAACCAGTGAAGAGATTGCATCTTTTGAGAAGTCTGGCTATGTCATGAGTGGCAGCAGGTAGGTGTTCTGATACAAAGTATGCTGTTCTGTTCTAGTGGGTTCTTACAGCTGGAAGGAGGGAAGAGAGATGTTTCCATTGCAGCTAATAGACACTGACCTTGTAGTAAGGGAGTTATTTTTCGCTGGTTTGGTGGTGGATGCTCTTGAATGTAATTCATTTCTTGATGAGCATTGTGTTCTTCATCAGGCACCGTCGAATGGAGGCTGTTCGTCTGCGTAAAGAGAACCAGATCTACAGCGCGGATGAGAAGAGAGCCCTGGCTTCGTTCAACCAGGAGGAGAGGCGGAAGAGAGAGAACAAGATCCTGGCAAGCTTCCGGGAGATGGTGTACAGAAAAACCAAGGGCAAAGATGAAAAATGAACTGCTTGCTGTTTTGTGTAGGCTGGAGTGGATGTTGGCAAGCCCCACCCGTTAAAAGCCATTTGCAAGTGAGTGTCCCACAAGGCCTGGTACCGCCTGAACTTTGAAAATTGGTTCACGGCTATGAAATAACCCTGATAGGTTTCATTTGGAAAACCTGCTCATATGTTTTACAGGACCTTGGAGCTACTTCATTTAGATCTAAAGGAAGATAGGAATTGACTAAGGCAGTGATCCTACGAACTATACCAAAATAGTGCTAGGAATCTGAGATACTGCCACCAGCTGGTTTTCTAGGGGGGGAAAGCAAGATTTAAAATTGGAGCAGGAGCACAGCAGAGATTTAAAAATAGAGACTCAGCAACTGAAATCTGGGCTCTGATTAAAGTTGCTTTGATATACATTTTTTAACGTGAGGCTACTGAGCCATCAGTATGAGAGAGACAGGCAGAATGGACAGGAGGCAATTCCTTACTGAACTCGAGAATGGCGTCAAAGATGACCCAAACCGGTGTGTATCTAAACCTAAGCATCCCACAAGACCAAAACCCACTTAAGTGATGGGTGTCTTCTTGATAAGCAGTCAGTGAAGACCATATTTTTTTGTTTTCTTGCTTGCTATTAATAGACCAAAGTGACGTAAACTGTAGTTCCGTTTCTGTGACTTGGGAGACTTTGCAAAGAAGAATTGTGCCTTGGGCACTTAGGACAGATTTTATTTCTTATTTTGGAATCCTCTCTATTTGACTGCATGAAGAGGCTGAGCCATACCTTATCAAAAAGGATCGAAACCTCTTCAGGTAGCTTCTGTGAGATAGTATTCCGTCAGCAGTGTTTCAATGGGACAGAGCTAGTAGGTATTTGTGCCTGGATGAATCTAGGGTGGGTTTTTTTTGCCTTTTTAACTTCCTGAATGTAACTCCTAATCTAGGCAAAACGCATATGCCAGGATTCAAAGGGTTATACTGTGGGTACAAGAGTCCTTCTGACCTCCGCTTTGAAACCCTGGGGTACCATTCAATAGGTGATGGCCAGAATTCAGGAGCACCTCCAGCGTGACACTGCAGTTTGGAAAAGGACATCTTTTTCTCCCTATTTCTAATAAAACAGGAAAGTTCTACCATGTGTATATATGTGTGCAGGTCTTACTTGGTACATTTGAGTACCCCTTCAGCACAGTTCTAAAACTGTATGTTATTGCCTGGAAAATATTTTTAAAATAAAGTGTTCCCTTTGGGTGCATCCGATTTATATTGTTACTGCTCTTTCAAGCTTTGGTTTGTCAGTCTGAAGCCATGCTTAATTATCTGAAAGTTCTGGAAAGTGAAAAAAAAGCCGTTGACCTTGCCTTATTCCAGCAATCTTAAAGGCCCTAATTCTAATTTGGGGGCATAATTCTGACATGGAGGCTCATCGTGGGGTCTTCTGTACAATGGGTGTATTTTGAATCAAGATCAGATATGACTTGATAGATCAACAAAGAAAAAGCTCAAAGTATAATTGTGTTATGTATTCGCGAAAAGGGACGTGGTGGCGCTGTGGGCTAACCCGCAGAAGCCTGTGCTGCAGCGTCGGAAGACCAAGCAGTCGTAAGATCGAATCCACGCGACGGAGTGAGCGCCCGTCGCTTGTCCCAGCTCCCGCCAACCTAGCAGTTCGAAAGCATGCAAATGCAAGTAGATAAATAGGGACCACCTCGGTGGGAAGGTAACAGTGTTCTGTGTCTAAGTCGCACTGGCCATGTGACCACGGAAGATTGTCTTTGGACAAAACGCTGGCTCTACGGCTTGGAAACGGGGATGAGCCAAACACGACTGGACAAAAATTGTCAAGGGGAACCTTTACCTTTACCTATTTGCGAAGGCTTTCACAGCCAGGATCTAATGGTTGTTGTGGGTTTTTCGGGCTCTTTGGCCGTGTTCTGAAGGTTGTTCTTCCTAACGTTTTGCCAGTCTCTGTAGCCGGCATCTTCAGAGGACAGGAGTAGCACTCTGTGCTCTGGATTATGTGCTACTCCTGTCCTCTGAAGATGCTGGCCACAGAGACTGGCGAAACGTTAGGAGGAACAACCTTCAGAACACGGCCAAAGAGCCCGAAAAACCCACAACAACCATATAATTGTGCTATTTGTAAAAGCCAGACCTTTTCCTTAGCTTGCTTACTCTTATGAAGCCAGCATGGGTAACTTGTGAGAGACTTGCACTTATTATATTTGAATCAGTACAGCAGTGTGTATACCTGTGGCCCTTCTAATGGTGTTAGACTACAACTCCCATCAACTGAGTCAACATAACCAATGGTGATGAGTTACAATCTAGCAGTTTCTGGAAGGCCACAGGTATGCATGCCTGCTATATGGATTCAAATGTTGTAAGAAATGCAGATCTCCCACTGCTGTGGCTTACCATTCAAGAAGAGGGTATGCTTTTTGTGTGTGTGGGGGGGGGGTGGAATTGATAGTTAATATTGTTTTTATTACTTTTCTTGAATTAAGTAATTCCCTATGAGGCAGAAAGACAAAAATGATGCCAAAGAAATATGGCTTTTATTTACAAAAAGAAGCAGAAGCCTGATACAGAAAAGAGTGTTTAACTTGTAACACCTTTAAAGAAACTAAAAGTAAATTGTCTCCATCAAGCTAATTTTGCTTTCAATTACTTCCTTGAGCCACTTCTCTTTAAATCGAGATTTCCCTGGCCTGTAAAGAGAAACAAGTACATGAGTGGACATTCAGATTAATCCAGAAATGTAGTTCAGAGTTACGGCTGTTAAAAGATAGTTTCCTTGTGGCAGAAAGATCAATTTTATATCATCAACAACTTATATACAGTGGTGCCTTGCCTGACAACGTTAATTCGTTCCAGCGAAATCGCTGTAGAGCGAAAACATTGTCAAACGAAACAAAAAAAGCCCATTGAAACGCATTGAAAACCCTTCAGTGTGTTCCAATGGGCTGAATACCTGCTCGTTTTGCGAAGATCCTCCATACGGTGGCCATTTTTGGTGCCTGTAAAGCTAGGAATCCATCCCTAGAAAACAGTGGGGGGGCATTTTGAAACTACCTATCAGCTGTTTAAAAAACATCGTTTTGTGAAGAATCGGTTCCCGAAGCAGGGAACCGATCATCACAAAGTGAAAAAAACCCATTTAAAACATTTTGCGATCGCAAAAATCTCATCGTAAAGCAACTTTTGCCATTTTTGGTGCCTGTAAAGCTAGGAATCCATCCCTAGAAAACAGTGGGGGGGCATTTTGAAACTACCTATCAGCTGTTTAAAAAACATCGTTTTGTGAAGAATCGGTTCCCGAAGCAGGGAACCGATCATCACAAAGTGAAAAAAACCCATTTAAAACATTTTGCGATCGCAAAAATCTCATCGTAAAGCGACTTTTTCGTTAAGTGAGTCAATCGTTAAGCGGGGCACAACTGTACATATGTACAATATGGAAAATGGGCATTTGGCAGGCTTGTAAATCTCAGGTGTGGAAATCTTGAGAAGCTTCAGAATGGCCGTGGGCACTTCCTTATCTTTCATAAAACTTAGACGGCTTACTCTGCTAGCTTTCAGCCTTCTGACCCAGCTAGCACTACCCTCTTTTCCCATCCACTTTCTTAGCACTTCCACAACAGATTCAGTCTGGTTCCTGACAGAGATGCTGTCATTACACCAAAGTGTTATTTGGTGCCTCTGATCTTCGCCGTTACCATTTCAGGCATCTATTTTCAGCCCTTCAAGAAATAAAACCCCACAACGTACCTGTGAATTAGCTTATTTGTCTCCACTATAAAGAACACTTCGACAGGCAAGGTCTGTTTTAAATGGAAAATCAGAGTTAGAACTGTTTTTAAGACACATACACGAAAACAAAATGAGTTTCTAGTTAAGAGGACAGAAAAGATCTCAGGAACAAATTAACCGCTTATTCCCAAGGAAGAAAGGAGGTGGTGTTTCCAAGGAGCGAGTTCTATAGAACTGGAACGATGAACCGAATGATGTGCTTTCAAGTAATGGGAAGAAAGACTTTTGCCAGGGGATCCAGAGAGATTCACAGTGCAGAACTGGGCTTAGGAAAAAAAAATAGTAGGGACTGATGTAAAATATGGAGAATTCACTCTAGCACGAAGACTTGGCAGAGCAAGTCGTGAAATTATTTTGCCCATTGCGGACATGTTTACTGCTCGTCTGGCCCTGACCAATTTATTGCCTCTATTCTTTTTCCGTAACAATTGTCTGATCCATAAGATGGCTCTCATACAGATCTCCCACTCTGTTTTTAAAGAGGCACCGTATTTTTCCATGTATAAGACACTACTTTAAAGTCATTACACTAAAAATTGAGGGGCATCTTATACATGGAAGTAAGCTGAGAACACGGAGAGAACCGACCAGACCTTGCCTGTTTAAGCAGGCTTCCTTCAGTCACAACCAGGAGCCTTATGGAACTGACCTCAGCTGATGCTGAACAAACCAACTGGAACACACATCATTGGAGGTGGAGCCTGTAGGCTCAGATTCAACAGGGATTCCTAATGTCTGACCCTTCTGAGCCCATAGGCTGAATCCTCAGCTTTTCTTAATTTTTGGGTTAGAAAAGGGGGGTGTCTTAAAATAGTTTGCACCAGACTGCATCCAAAGCAGTCCAAACTGTGAGCTATATCCCCATCTGATCATACTGTTAGCATGTTTTAGCATGTACCGTATAACCATATGTACACGCACACGGAGATGGTAGCACATTAAAAGATCAACAAGTTGATTTCAATATGAGTTTTGGTGGATTACAATCCACTTCTAGATTGCAATCCATGAAAGCTCATGCTGAGATGAATCTGTTACTCATTGAGGATACAATAAGTGTTGTTTTCATTTTCGTTTTTGTTTTAGTTAGAGAAATGCCAACCAGAGGTTGTCCTCCCCTCCCAAACTTAGACAAGGTCTTCTTCTTTTAAAAAAAAATCCCTTTTCTGTGTAAGTAGGCAAATCATAACTCTTCCTATCCTTAGGCATGTATACCTGGGGTAGCTATCAAACACAATCTGCATACAGAGCACAGTCCCTCTCAGCTCCACTGAAAAAGATCTGCAAGTTAACTTCACACTGGATGAAATCCTTTTACTTAGTATAGTAAGTTGCACCAGAGTAGGCACATTGAATCTGTGAGGATTTGGCGAGTCAAGATCTCTGCAAGTTCCATGCATTCGAATGGGGCCACCCTAGTTGAGATTTATTACAATAAGCACCAGGTCACTACGTTCTATGTGTGGTGTGTGCAGTAGCCTCATTTTCTTTCCTGCTTCTCTTTTCGACATAACTGCTACTTCCGAGTAAATGCATGAGACTGTATCTGCACGACACAATGACAACAGATTAATAGTACTTTACCTGTCACTGCTCCTTTCTATGGGGTCTTGCAATTTGCGATTAGGTGAATTACTTACAATTCTCTGTTACAGAAAGAGATCTCCAGGACCTTCCCCTGAATTATATATTATATAATTTTCTGTCTCTTGCAGAAAATTCTACATTCTCCATCAAAATAAAAAGCTCAGTATCCCCTAAGGTTGGAGCCATAGAAGTCAATTTGGTATCAAACTGCTATAACTGTGTCATATAAAAGCACCCTCAGGGGTTTTGTTTTATTTTAAAAAATTTCAAATTAAGTGTGCATACCTCGGCTTCAGGTTTTCAAGCCCTGTGCTTGGGAAATCTGTGGTGGCTTTTTTAAAAAAAGGCATCGATTGAGATTTTGGTGGTGATAGGTGTAAATCTGGGGAGAAATATGAACTGGAACATGGAAAAAGTTTAAAAGCCAGATTGTAGCCTTTCAGGCTCCCCCAGAAATGAACAAGAACCTTAGATTTGGCACAGACCCAATTTAATGTAATATGTAGCTGAACCAGGAACGTTCAGATAGTTGAAGGCACACCAAAAATGCTTGACGATTTGGGGCTCATCTCCGTTCAGAGTCAAAGGAGACGTTCCTGGGAGATTCTGCGTACTTACTGATGGCCTGACTTTGGAAATCTCTATGACAAAATAGACACAGGCTGTTGCTCGTGGGATGGGCTTCCTGCACGTCGGGATGCTCCATCGTACTCGGTAATGGTATCTCATGCTATACTCTAATTCTTCTTCTCCAAGATAATTTGTCCAGTGCAGCCAGCTCTCGTGCAACTCCCATGTCTGTGGAATAAATGCAAGTGATGCTGTGGTCCGACACACACACCTTTATGCATCGTTAAGGCTGAAGGTGTGGGGGGAAGAAAGACAGCAACAGCAGTGGAGAGAGATGGTCCAGGTCAGCTAGATGCTCCTCACCGGTCTATCTGATCTATCTCCTCTGGCACTGTAGACCTGAAGTGGGCAAAGTTGTTTGTCCTTTTGTTGTTTGACTGCATCTCCCAGAATTCTGAACCTTTGGCCATCTTGGATTAGGATAATGGGAGTTGCAAGCCAACAACATCTACCCCTGATGCAGACTGATGTTGAGATGACTTCCCTCAGTCCAGTCTTCTCTCCCAGCCATCTCCCACATGTGGACCAAGTGTAGGAGGAGCATCCATAGAATGAAACTATCCTTTCAAGATAATATGTCCTTAGAAGAAGAATTCACTTTGGTACATATAAACATGCTTCTGGCAGACGCATGTCTGAGAAATCTCATAAATTGGGACGAACTCTATGTTTATGTCCAAAGACCTATCACAAAACACAGCAAGATAAGTGGCAGGAGGTGGTGAGAGGAGCTTCTGCTGTAGCCATCAAGTGCTTTCCCTCTCTACTAAATTTTGTACAATTTATCCTGAATCAGGGCTCTGGAGAACCTAAAAGCTTGCTTTGTTTGTGAAGTTTTAAAGATTGTAATAAAGCTATTACAAAACCCTGAGTATTGTTGCCCCACAGAGACAACGTGGCTGTTTAATTCTTCTTTTCTATTTTCCTCTTTCTTCTAAGACAGATGGCTTCTTAATCACAACAGTTCCAGTTCCTTATTTTGATCTGTGGGGCAGAGAAAGCCTCTTACTAGATAGGAGGCATCAGTGAGTATACGGCAATTTATTTCCAAGTAAATATGCAAAATTGCGAACCTGTTATCCTGAATGACTTCCATAGGTATCACCTGTACCAGCTGACTGTGCTAACCATTCATACACCCCCGAGGCCAGTCCTTTGCCCTTAAGCCCAATTTGTGAACAGCAGAGATGCCTTACCCTCATATACTCCTCAATCTGCAATAGCCCTTTTCCGATGGTGAAGTCTTGGCACTTCATCCACGCAATATCTGGCACTTCATATTTGGCTCCTGCAATTGAGAAGGACGTGGATGAACCCCCCCTCCCCACGGCAGGTGAACTGCAAACCCCCCAAGCGGCTTTAAAAACATGACAAGCTTTGTTTTACAATACCTGCCTCTTCCTTCTGCAGGTTTCCCACGGCGTCCGTTGCTCCTTGGATGGCATTTGTGACAATCAAGAGCGCTTTCTCCTTGATGGCTTCCAGATCTCCATCATCTCCCACAAATTTGTTATCATTCATTGTTTTCAACTCTTGGGAGACAATGGCACAGCATCCCAAAATATCAGCATTAGAGGGAAAGGACTGCTTGGAAATAAGCAGAATTCTGCTACTGTATGTAGATTGATCTGTGCTGAATAGTTGCTTGCTGAAAATATTTTTTTGCAGAAATTATTCTGTCGAGTTAACACCTAAATGCCCCCAGGAGTCCTACAAAATCTATAGACCTCGGGGGAGGGGGGAGGGGGGAATCAGAGGTCCATGTTCATTCTTTATCCTAATAAAGGGTTAATTCCAGAATAAAGCCAAACAATCACAAACAATCATATCAAAATTCATATGAGTATCAAAGTATGAGTATTTACACTGTTGCAATATTTCCAGGCAACAATAATTTATTCACTTTCTACAACATTATTTTATTCTACATTAGTTTTATGTTCCATACAGGCAGAATTAATTCAAAAACTGACAAGTCAGAATGTACTGAAGACCATTACTGTACAGTCTTACAGTTACAAGAAAAACTGTAGGCACAGATACTTGGAAACTCTTCCTTTCGACTTATTAAAAGTTACAGGTGTGATTTCCATCCAAGCAGTCTTACAACTATGAGAAATTGGCAGGCATTCAAATACAAAACTTAAGCTGCAAGTACAAATTAAATAAAAAAGCTTATAGCTTTAAAAGGCAAATACAATCACATTCAGATAAATCTCGACTTATTAAAAGTTACAGGTGTGATTTCCATCCAGGCAGTCTTACAACTATGAGAAATTGGCCGGCATTCAAATACAAAACTTAAGTTGCAAGTACAAATTAAATAAAAAAAGCTTATAGCTTTAAAAGGCAAACACAATCACATTCAGATAAAACATCTCTTACAATATTAAAGTTCTTAAAAGTAAGAATGTATTAAAAGGATTTAAAAGTTACAGGTGTGATTTCCATCCAGGCAGTCTTACAACTATGAGAAATTGGCCGGCATTCAAATACAAAACTTAAGTTGCAAGTACAAATTAAATAAAAAAAGCTTATAGCTTTAAAAGGCAAACACAATCACATTCAGATAAAACATCTCTTACAATATTAAAGTTCTTAAAAGTAAGAATGTATTAAAAGGATCATATATAATGTACTTTAAAAGCATGGAAAAATAAAACAATTGTTAAAAATAAGAACATATAAAATAAAAAGACTTTCTTAACCTCTAAGCACATTTGATCACAAAGAAAAATTATTAGATCATGTTCTCATCCAGCCAAGCCAGTTAAAATCTACGAAGGAAAATAAATTCTTATCTCTGTGTTTACAACTTATAAGCAAAACATTCATTAAGTTGCCAAACTTGTTTATTGTTCATTGACTTTGCTGGAGGCCACTAATTGTTTGAATTGCACATCACACAGAGTTAAACTTAGATCAGGCATCCTTCAGTCACGAGAGACTATGGTAACGTGCTCTGCATGGAGGACTTGGAACAGCATCTAGTGTGGCTGAGAAGGCCAATTCGAGAGTGACAATCCCTTCCACACTGAAGACAAATACACTCTGTCCCCTGTCCAGCTCCCTGACTGCCTATTGGCCTCAGCCTGCTGGACAAGGGTCTCTTCAAATTGGGAGAGGCTGTGATGCCCTGCCTGCTTCTAGGCTGAATGCTCATATGTCAAGGTTTCCCATCTGTTGAGGTCCATTGCTAAGGGGGTAAGTAATTTAACTCTCATCTGGGTTTGCACTGCCTACAGTGAGGACGGGAACCTGTGTCCACCTCCAGATGGTGTTGAACTGCATTTCCCATTCATCCTAGCCTTGCCTTTAGCAAGGGCCCCTTTGTCAGGGGACACTCTCCCCCCCCCTAGCCTGACAGGAGTTCTCTGGGGTTCCTGACAGGGGGTTTTCCCAGGCCCTCTTGGAGATGCCAGGAGTTAAAGGCGGGGCCTTTTGCCCACTTAGCATATACTGCCTCACCACCTGATTACCCTTCCTGCAGTGTCCGTTATGTTTGCAAACTTGTTTTTGCCCCATTCACACATGCTAATTGTAGTGCACAGTTCGAAACCCCTAACAACGATCCCACGTGTAAATGAGAAGCAGGAAGGAACCTATTTCTTTGCACCCTGATCATCCCCTGTTTCCCACCCACTCTGCTCCTGAATATACTGCCTCACCACCTGATTACCCTTCCTGCAGTGTCCGTTATGTTTGCAAACTTGTTTTTGCCCCATTCACACATGCTAATTGTAGTGCACAGTTCGAAACCCCTAACAACGATCCCACGTGTAAATGAGAAGCAGGAAGGAACCTATTTCTTTGCACCCTGATCATCCCCTGTTTCCCACCCACTCTGCTCCTGATGCACGGAATAAAATCTGCAGCCAGCCAGGACACGAAAAGGAAAAAACAACCGGCGGCCGACGAAGAAATGATGGTGTTTCCCACCCACTCTGCTCCTGGTGCACGGAATAAAATCTGCAGCCAGCCAGGACACGAAAAGGAAAAAACAACCGGCGGCCGACGACTCTTAGAAATGATGGTCATCGGGGAATCCTGGACCCCTCTCAGCATTCCCTCCAGCCCTACAAGCTCAATTACCTGCTTAAAAGCACCTGCCGAGCGTCTTTTCCCTTTTGTTCAGGTCTGTTTGATTTCCTCTGAGATGCAGCTTCTCCGGGGCTCATTAAGCAGCTGGTTTCCAGCCTCCTGGGACAAATGTTTGGTCATAATCATCACCCAGGCAACCCCGGTTCAGCCAATTGAACTGTTGCTTTGATGTACAGGCATTCCATCATGCTTTAAAAGAGAAGGACTGGCTCTTTGTGACGCATCATGTGCACGTCCCATGTTATCATTAGGCCACGATAAACCAAGAGCTGAGCATTACCAAGCGGGCTGTATTTTCACAACAGGGAGGAGGAGAGGACGGTGGCTTTTTCAGCCTCTCCACTTCTCTGTGCGTTCTGTGCGCATGATGGCTGGAATCTACCAAGTTCTGTATTTGGCAAAATAAACATTTGATTGTGGTTTTTTTTTTTTTTTTTCAGTCCAGCTAGTTCATTCATAGTTCTCATGGTCTAAAAACCAAGGAGGGTGCCCATTGCATCTCTAAGTGATTAACTGTTCTGGGCCTTGCCTCTTTCCAATTATGGTAGCTTTTGTTAGGTGTGCTGTAGATGGGCTTACTAAATGTAATGCAAATTGTTCCAGCACAACCCAGGTTCTTATTCCCCTCTTTCCCTTGGCTTAAGGAAAATCTTGCAGCAGGCTTCTATAGAAGCCCTACCAGACAGTTGGCTTTTCCAGGTCAAAAAGCACTCAATCACCTACTGGGGAAGAGCAAAGGACAAGAACAAATAGGTAATGATACAACTGGATTAAAGCCGAAAGGATGTCTAGTGGCTGGCATGCACAGAAGTTAAAGGAAAGTCTGATTCTACAAAATACATAAATTGGAACATGGTATGTGAGAAGTATGAACCAAGATAAACTGGAAACCATAAAGCAAGAAGTAGAATGTAAAAAAAAATAGTGCTTCGGGTCAGTAAACTAAAGTAGACTGGAGCAAAATATTTCCAGTCAGTTGACTACAAAGTGTTCTATTTTGGAAATGACAGAAGAAATTGATAGCTCTAATACTGAGGCAAGATGTAGCTCAGGCGGTTGGGGCTATAAACCAAAGTCTGACCAACTAATACCAATCAGGTTCTGTGACAAACTTATCAACATAACAATCAATCAAACTTTTGCTGCAACTGCCAATGCTGAAGAAGATGAAGATGAAAGCGTCTATGCCAGCATCCAAGAGGAAGTAGATCACACACCAAAACATGCTTATAATTGTAGGTGACTGCAATGCAAAAGCAGGGAACAGAGCATAACCAAATACTTTTTAAAAATACATCAGGGACAGAAGTGAAGCCAGTTATCTGTTTATTGCAAATACATGCTTTAAGATGTCACTTAGATTTTTCACCACTGCATAAGGATGAAAAGCACAGTGCTTTTCTCATCTGCAGCATTAGCATTTTTTAAAAAAAGCTTGCGTTCATTTCTTGCAAAGGAGCTGGTCTCAGCCATAGATTTGGCCTTGTATCTATAAGGGCAAGGGACTTGCTGAAAAATAAAAACTTGGAACCCAGGCCAGCTTGTGGTCTGAACTGGAACAGGGTGATACAGTACACCTAACATCCAGGTAAAACCCGGTCAGACAGATAACATGGCAACCCAAAGAGATAATGGCTTACATACCTACGTTCTGACATTTTTTTTAAGGGGAGCCCCTTCCCTCGGGCCCACAACTCTTATTGCCCCTTTTATTTCAGACTCAGTCATGTCCCTTCCCAGTGACTCTTCCAAGGGTGGGTGAGGAGGATGGCCCCTTCCTGTTGTCCTTCTATGCCCAGACAAGGAATTCCTGGAGAGCTCAGTGACTTAGGTTTCTGGTTGTGGAGTTGGGAGTTCGATTCCCCACTGGGCCTCTTTGGCAGAGGCTCGACTTCATGATCCATAGGGTCTCTTCCAGCTCTTCCGTTCTGAGATATTGTTGTTGCCGTGTTATGTAGATGAATTTGTTGCAACTGAGGGACTAATGAAAATTGGGACTTTAAAAATGTGCATAATACCTATTCATGTGTTTTAAAGGTTATTTACATCTTAATATTTAATATTAGAGATGGGCAGGAACCAGGAAAAAGTTGGTTCATGATGGTTCATGGTTCATCACGATTCATGAACCACAAATGATAAACTTTCACAAACTTTCCAAACTCACAAAGAATCTTCAGCTGTCTCTCCTCCCCACCCTGTGAATTTTGGTGAATATAAGTTTTGGGACAACCGAATTATAGATCCCAGAAAGCAGGTG